GTGTGTGTGTGTGTTTGTTAGTGTCCACAAATCCACCGACCATGGTCGGCTCATCCATATGCATTACCTATTTTTTTTGTTTGTTCTTTTTCATTTTCTAAGATCAAGGCGTTTTGAGTAAGTGCAGCTGGAACGCGTATTGCATTTTTCCATTCAGTCTTTTATATCGCTTTTCTGTGTCAGTGGAAATGATCCTAATACATCACTGTGGGATAATTAATTAACTGTGTGTTGGAGAAGGTTTTCAAACCACGCCACCCAGGACGGCCTGTTGTTGTGGTGAACGTCATGGGTAGTTTCAGCTGACTTCATCTGGAGCTGTATCGTCTGAACTGATTCACGGATCTTGCCTTCAATTGAAAATCTGGAGGCTGTTTTGTTTTTGTTTTTTTGCTCTGGATTTTGATTACAACAGTTTCATACCACAACCTGTTGAAGTTGTGTATTTGGTGTTTTCATGGGGAGTTTCACCTCGGCTTGTGGCTTTTGGATATTGAGCTGAGTTCATGAGTGCTTTGGATGTGTTTTGGAAGTGCGTGTGTGTTTTGAGAGCAGAGGAGGTGTTGACTAATTTAGTGTGATTTTTTTAAAGTCATGACAGATTTAATTTTTGGAAACACGTTAATGCTAAAACGAAAAAATCCAGATAATGTCTAGAAATTTGGAGAATCAAAGTTATGAAAAAATAAATACCTGACAACAGTGGAGTTTTTTTCTCACTAACTAAAGGTGGGAAAAGATACTTTTCCAGATAACAGGTTTTTAAACTCCACAAATTAAAGTTATAAAAATATAAAACGCTGCTTAATAGTTCTCTCAAGTTAACCATTTGAAGGTTTGAAAAAGTAATAATAATAATATACCAGCTAACAGTTGTTCTAACATTCACAAATTATTAAAATCATGAAAAAAGAAAGTAGTTGTTCTTCACATTCCCACTGAGCGGCCAGCCATCATGGAGAGCGGCGGCTGGAAATCGGTACTGTTGTGGGTGGTGCTGTGTGTCTGTGCCAGGAGCCCACACGTCCACTCTCAGGCCAGAACCACCGCGGGGTCAGCCTCGGCCGTGAGTACCCTCAGCAATCCGTCCTACAGCGTCAACTGCGAGTCCCCGGCCGACAAACGGCACCGCGAGAACCTCATACGTATCGGCGTCATCCTTCCCTTCACGGGAAGCTACCCCTGGAGAATCCAGCTCACGAGACCCGCTTTGGAATACGCGAGAGATAAAGTCTACTCCAAGGCCAATCTTCTGAACAACTTCACCATCGAGTTTGATTACAGGGACTCGAGATGTTCCGAGACGAATGGTCCCTTGGAAGCGATCGACATGTATACCAAAAAATCAGCGGATGTGTTTCTGGGCCCGGCTTGCGATTACGCCATCGCTCCCGTGGCTCGATTTACTTCGACATGGGGCATTCCCATCGTCAGTGCTGGAGCGCTTGTGAAGGCGTTTGATAAGAAAGATGAATACCGCCTTCTTACGAGAGTCATGGGGTCTTACAAGAAAGTTGGAGAGTTTATCATTTCTGTGATGAAGAAGTTCAAATGGAAGGAGGTGGGGCTTTTGTTGAATGACAACATCTTGGATCCATCCAAAGGGAAGACGGAGTGCTGGTTCACTATGGAGGCTATTTTTCTTACCATTAAAAACCAGACCAATAACGCTCTGGAAATGACCAACGTTATAGCTTTCGACGAGAACGATATTGGACACGACTTTGAGGGCAATTTGAAGAAGTTATCTACTTTTTCTCGAGGTAAGGGTTATATCAATTTTTGCTTTATGATGACTCGTGCAATTCAAACTAACTTTTAACTCATTTTATAACCCTCAATCATTAACTCTGTCTGTCTGCCTGTCTGTCTGCATTTATGTCTGTCTGTCAGTCTGTCTCTCTGCATGTCTGTCAGTCTCTCTGTCTGTCTATCTGTCTGTTTGTCTGTCTGTCGGTCTGCATTTATGTCTGTCTCCGTCTCTCTGCCTCGTTCTCACTCTCTGGTAACATGAAATAGAAACCCGGCTGGGAACGAAAACAACTCAGGCAGGCAGAGTGGCTCAAGGCAGACTGCTTTATGGCAGAATGGTCCAAGTAGCAATGTCCAGCTGGTGGAAAAGCTTCGAAGAAGATTCGCTGAAAGATTTATTTATTACTGTCAGTCAAACGGAAGCCTTGATAACGTGGATTTTGGAAAATGTTAGTCCAGCTCAATGGAAAGAGCTTCTGGAATGAGGCGTGTTTTATCTAGCAGGGAAACGGAATGCTTTTTTTGTTTTTGTTTTTTTTGGTTCTTCTTGTTTTTTAAAAAAAAATTTTGCGTTGTTTTTGTGGTGTTGTGTTCTTCTTTGTTTTCTTTGTTTGTTTGTCTTGATGGAAATTGGCACGATCGAAGTTTTGGCTTTTGTTTTTTTGTGCGTCTTTGTTTATTGTCCCCTTTGTGTTGTTACTTTTGTTTTTGTTTTTGTTTTGTTTTGTTTGTTTGATTGTTGCCCTTTTACTTTTTTGAAGAGAGAGGTCGTACAGAAGTTTTGTGTATTCTGAACACAACAACAGGATCCCTGCAATACAACATGAATGAAAAGACGGACAGAGAGGAAAACCAACTGGGAGATGAGAAAAATCTAAATAGCCGGGAGAAGATGTGGGACAAAAAGATATATTGTGGAGGGGTATAGAAGTCACAGGTGCAAGTGTGTGTGTGTGTGTGTGCCTGTGTGTGTGTGTGTGTGTGTGTTTTTTTTTTTTGTATGTGTGTGTTTAACGGCGCTTGCAACTGCAAAAGGTCATATGAGTACGAGAGACACATTAAAGATATTCAGTTGGTAGGAAGGGTGTGTGCGTGCAAGC